ATATATATATATATATATATATATATATATATATATATATATATATATATATATATATAAAGAAGTTTGACATTTCAAACCCAACACATAACACAGACACTAACACCTCAAAGACAGTCGGATCTCTCAACTACTAACCGGTAAGGTAGAATAGTTTCGCTCGAAAAGGTAGAATAGTTTCACTTTTTTGTTTGGAGTGAAACTATTCTTTTATTTGACTAATCATCGGAAGTGCATCGGAAGATTGTCGGAAGCTTTAAATGATAGTCAAAACTATTCTCCTACATAAAAAAAGGTAGAATAGTTTCACTTCACCATTCTCATCTTCAAGAGTAGTCAAACAAAAAGATAGCCATGACTACACATGCTACAAACTATGACTCATTACTGTAGTCAACAAATAAAATGTAATATCGAGACATGCCTAGACTACCTGTGAGTATATCATATTATTAAAGTAGACAACTATAAAATACATGCAATTCTTTAACATCATTCATGAGATAATTAACTAATAGAAAAATTAAATCCGATAAAAATCCCTTTCTCTCTTCATGTCCGGTGCTTCGTTTTTCGATCTTGCTCCATACATGATCTTGAGTTTTGAAGAATTTCTATCATTATTTGAGTATTGTTTGTGTTCTAAAACTCAAAGATTCTATTACGTCTCTCTTTCCAAATCTATCAAATAGCACATCTAAAAGAACATTTGCTAGTTGTATAAGAGGTCCTTTTCTTAAGAAGCTTTGCATGAGCTTTCCTAGTTTTTGATGCAAGTTTGGCTGCGGCAGCCTATCGAGTTCAAATCTCTTCAGAATCTCCTTCGATATCCAATTAGTATAGTCAAAAGCAAAATAAATATGGTCAATACTTTCTTCCTATTGCATACAAAAGGAGCATCGGTTAACAAGATAAATACCTCTTTTCTTTATATTGTCCATTGTAGGTAGTTTGGCGAGAAGGGTTTGCCATGTGCATAAGAAATATTTTTGTGAGTCCGATTTATCCCATGTCAACTGTTTGAGATCCACTTGTTATTCTTTTACCTGATATGATTTTATGCTGATGTAGCACTAAATTTACCATTGTTATGAAGCTAAATAAGCATATTTGAAGAGTTGTTCTTGATTGAAATAGCTGTAATAGTCAGCCAAAGTGATAACATTTCAAGAGAAGTAGGATTGGGAAGACACCAGGTGCCATTAGTAATGAACTAAGAAACCTTCCAATCTTTGAGCGTCCCAAGATATCTTCATACTCTGTCATCATATAATTGGAATATACTTTTTCCATTTACCTAAGGATCATACCACATATTAGCCTTGGTCCCAAAAGAGATTACATAGAAAATGTGTTTGATTAGCCAATTTGTTACCTTCAAAATTTCTTTCCAAGCAATAGAATGATATGTTTTTACTGAAACTTCTTAGATTGATTCATTGGATAAGTACCTAGCAGAAACCCATTATGACCATAAGGAATATTTATTTTGCCAAAGATCCCATAATTTTTGTACCAAACAAGCTTTATTCTAGTCTCTAATATTTCTCAGATTTAATCCCCCTTCACCTTTTGGTTTGTAGGTGCTATCCCAATTTACCATATGCATTATCTTATAATCTGTGTCATTCCATAAGAAGTTCATAAATAGTTATTTAATATCCTGGAGAAGTCTAATAGGCAAAAGAAATGCATTAGACCAATAAATAGAATAAGAGTATAACACAGATCGGATGAGTTCAAGTCGTCCTGCTTTAGAAAGAAGTCTATTTTTCCATAAGAAAATTTTATTATTTATTTTTTACAAGATAAGCTGATAGTGGATTTTGTGAATACTAGTGGATATGAGTGAGAGACCTAAATAAGGAACTGGTCGACTTCCCTCACTAACCCCTAGAGTTTGTGCAATAAAATCCTTATTTTCAATATAAGGACCCATACAAACTTTGCTTTTCGCATGATTTAGCTCAAGGCCAAAAACTATACCAAAGTCTTTTAGAATAGTAGCCAGATTCCTCGTTAAAGTAGAATTATTTCGAAGAAAGATAATAAGATCATTTGCAAAAGTTATGTGGGATATATGAATAGAACCAGCATAGGGTACCTCATTCAAGCCAATTGGTGAACCATTGAAGAGAATAAAAAATTTTAGAGTTTCCAAGCAGCATTAAATCTAATTAACCTATTATTGAGGTAAGTTCATACTGAGGAGTATCTTGTAGATAAAGTATCTATTAACTGAATCGAAGGCTTTCGTAAATCAGCTTTAAAATATATTTTTGTCCCTCTTGTTTTTTAGTGTAGATCTTTGACCAAGTTATCAGCAAGAAGAACATTATAATGTATACTTCGCCCTTTAATGAAAGTAGCCTGATAAGGACTAATGATCTTATGCATAACCTTTTGTATTCTATCTGTCAACCCCTTGGAGATGATCTTTTAAATAAAGTTATATAATGACATGGGCCGATAGTTCTCTTTAAGACTACAACCTGAAGAGAAAAAATGTTGACAAGCTTTAATCACATCATTACCATGCAATTTGGTAATATTCAGTTGAAAATCCATCCGAACCAAGGCTTTTATGCTTCGGTGACTTAAAGACAACTCTTTTGTGCTTTAGTGACTTGAATCAGCCCTTGCATTCTTAGGAATTAAAAAAAATAAAACTATAATTTATCTCTTTAAGAATACAGCCTGAAGAGAAAAAATGTTGACAAGCTTTAATCACATCATTACCAATGATAGACTATGGAATTTGATAAAATTCAATTGAAAATCCATCCGAACCAAGGCTTTTGTGCTTCGGTGGCTTGAACACAACTCTTACAATTTCATCATCTATAATTGGGGCATTAAGGATTGAGATGACATCCGAATCAAGCTTTCTAGTAGGCTCCATATGATTATTATTAGGTTGCTCCTCTTGATTAAGAAATAAAAAAATTGCTAAGTGTGCACTTTAACCTCATCCAAATTCTCAATAAGATTACCATAATTGCCTTTACAATTTCTTGATGCAATTAATGGCTCTTCTAGTAGTAATGGTAGTATAGAACAACTTAGTATTGGAATCTCTTAGAGTAAGCCAATGCTGCTGAGACTTTTGTTTTACAAAATTTTCCTCCTACTTTGAGGCTTGCATGAAGTTATCTTTGGCTCCTGCCTCTTTACAGATAAGGTTCTCATCAAGGGGTTGAAGATGTAACTCATGTTGCACCGCCATTAGCTCCTTTTTGCATAACTATACCCAGGTGGTAATATTGTCAAAGATGTTTGTATTCCACTTCTTAAGTCCCACTTTATATGATTTTAGCTTTTGGCATAAGATGTA